ACCCTTCAACCTTTCAGGCGTAGGCAACGTCCGAATGCGGTACCCCATCGCCCCAGTGCACGGAGAGGGCAGCACGGTCTACAAAGAGCTCAACGCTCTCAAGACAAAGCTGGAAGAAGAGAACCCTTCGTACCAATAGTTGGACTGACTCAACCAAGTACGTCAATTATGTATTGCTGGATTGTTTAAGAGAGAGAGAGAGAGAGAGAGAGAGAGAGAGAGAGAGAGAGAGAGAGAGAGAGAGAGAGAGAGAGAGAGAGAGAGATATTGATAAATATTAAAATAGAATGACAGAGAATAAAATGGTTTGGCCACTTGTACTTATTTCACCTAGCCTGCCAGCCTCGAGAGCCCATAACACCATCACTCAGGATATAAAGGAAGAGGAAAGCCACGCAAAAAGTGGATTGAGGGAGTCAAGGAAACCCTGAGAAATCATAATACCCCAATTGAAAGAGCTGCAGAGTTAGCCTACCATAAAAGACCGCATCTCCCCTCGATGCTTAAGGGCAACAGAGGATGAAAAAATTAAAATGCCAAAGTAAAGTAATACTGAATGAAACTTATTATCAGCAATAAATCTCTTGTCATCTGTCCACCTGAGAAAAAGTGACCCCATTAAAGAACCGCCCCACTCAATTAGCCAATCAAGACGGAGAACGCAGCTGAGTCTTAAATAAACATCTTTAGGTTTAACATGGCCTCGTAAAACAAAGCAGTATTTTGAAGGGCGGGGTTTTCAAATCAGTATCCATTGATTGAAATGGGGAAGAGCATTCAGAAAAATTCACAAACACTTCTTTAGAATTTGAGCCCTGTCGGTCAAATTTAGAGCCGTAAAAGGAGCAGCTAATGAGTATTTTTCAAGATCTTTTTCTTTCTCATGACCTTTTGGAGGATCGAAAACCCCCCCACAATGACAGCATCAATAACGAAGTTAAACAATACCCCCCAAAATTGTGTGAAAGTGAGTGGGACGTATTTTTATTGTTGCTCTGATGTCAGTTCCTCACTCTTTACAACAAAATTATTGTTTAGAGGTGGGATCCAATCGTTTATTCTCCACTAAAACTGATTGGGAGAGAGAGAGAGAGAGAGAGAGAGAGAGAGAGAGAGAGAGAGAGAGAGAGAGAGAGAGAGAGAG